TACCACCCAACTGCCGAGCTCCCTGCTCACATACGTATATTTCCTTTAAACATCTCAACATCACCAGATCCTCATAACATCATCACACGAAGTTTTGCTTAAAAGGATCTCTGAAAATCTGTTTATAACCTAAGCAGGTGACTCAGCAGTTCCCTTTGTATCACCCAACTGCCAAGACCACTGCTACAGTTAAACTTCATCTTAACCTTACTTAAGTACTTTTTCAGACATCTTTCTTGTGTTCTAAACAACGTTTCACCATCACTTTTCATCATAAAATCAATATTTCTCTAGCAGTTGCCTCAGCAGTTCCCTGCTACCTAGTCAACTGCTAAGCTAACTGCCAAGCCAACTGCTAGCTATCTAAGTCCAATCTTCCCAAAATTAGAAAGTGGTCAAACACTCATTACATAAAGGGTAAAGACTTCCGCTGTGCATCTATTAATCTCTCAAAAGATTATAGATCAATTCATCTAGAGGGAAAACTTCATAAAGTTGAAAAAGATTTAAAAGTCTATTCACCCCCCCCCTCTAGACTTTTACCCTATCCGGGACCATCATGTGGCTTGGTCAAGAGCTTTCAATTTATCGTTGATAGCCCAACGGAAATATGGTTTTGTGGATGGGACTATCCGCAAACCTACTGCAGCGTCTAAATTACTCGACTGGGACACGAATAATTTCATGATTGTTTCTTGGATGTTGAGAAGCATGGAATCAAGTGTGGCGACCTCAATTCCTTTCCACGATGATGCTTGGTTGTTGTGGCAGTACCTGGAGAAACGTTTCAGCGAAGCAAACGAACCTTGTCCGCAGCAGTTGCGTACCTCCATAGCCGAGTGTAAACAGACCAAATCTATGTCTGTGCATGCCTACTTTACTGCCCTCATGGGTTTATACGACGAATTGAATCATCTCAAACCGCCATATACTTGCACGTGTGGAGTGACAGACAAGTATGCAGCCGATAGAGACGAAAAGAAACTTCATCAATTCTTGATTGGGATTGATGATGAAATATATGCCACGGTTCGCTCAAATCTTTTGTCACAGACACCTTTGCCTGATATTACTAGAGCGCATCAGGCGTTCCTTTAAGAGGAACGCTCACGAGCAATTGCCCGAGGTAAAAGTAAGCAGCTGACATTCAAGCTTTCGTTTTGAAGGCAGAACGAAACCAGAGCAAGATGGACAAAGCTGAAAAGGCAAGGCTCATGTGCTCGCATTGTAACCAGAAGGGCCATGACGAGAGCACTTGTTTTAAAATATATGGATATCCGGACTGGTGGGAAGAACGTGCTCGGAACAAAAATAATGGGGCAACGGGACGCAGCCCGGGAGCAGGAGGCAGTCTGCCAATTGTTGCGAATCGCGGTCATGGGGGGGGGGGGGGGGGGGGAGTGTGCGCACATGCGGTTACTTCACTGGACCCTCCTCATATGGCTGTGCAGGAGTCTTCTCGTGTTGCGCCAGAATCCTCTTGCGCAAGCAATAGTGACTATAATCCGCTGCAAGAATTGACTAGGGAACAGGTTCAGACACTTTTACACATGATTAATGCAGAAACTCGTTCCACTAATCACATGTCGGGTGAGTATGGTACTTTTGACGGGATAATTGATACTGGTGCATCCCGTCATGTAACAGGTGACTTGAGCCGACTTGCTAATGTTGTTAGCATTCGTGAATGTATGGTGGGGCTGCCTGATGGGTATACAGTTATTGCTACTTTGGAGGGCAATGTGCCTCTTACCAAAGATCTTGCTCTTTCTCATGTTCTATATATATGTTCCCAAATTAAATTGTCATCTTATTTCAGTCTCTCAGTTCACTGATCAATCAACTCGTATTGTTACTTTCACTAATTCTCTATGTGCTATACAGGACCTACACTCGAGGAACCTGATTGGAGCCGGTGAGAGACATGATGAGTTGTTCTATTTTCGACGTGTGCCTGGGTTGCATTCTGTGTGATCGACTGGTGTGACGGATTTCGAGCTATGGCATCGGCAGTTGGGTCATCCATCAAACCAGGTTCTAAAATTGTTGCCTGCAATTAGTTCTAGTAGTTTTAAAAAATCTCTTAATAAGGCTTGCATGGTCTGTCCGCAAGCAAAACAAGTTCGTGATTCTCTTCCCGTTAGTGATAATAAAGCAAACCATATTTTGGAATTAATTCATTGTGATTTGTGGGGTCCTTACAAAACCCCGTCTACTTGTGATGCTATTTATTTCTTAACTATTGTGGATGATCACTCTAGAGCTGTGTCGGTTTATCTTTTGCGGGACAAAAAGGAGGTGTATAAATATTTTCTTTCATTTTTCGCTATGATTGGAACACAATTTGCAGCAACTGTGAAAATTGTTCGCAGCGATAATGGGACTGAGTTCAAATGTATGCTTCCTTATTTTACTGATCATGCTATTTTATTTCAAAGTTCTTGTGTTGAGACATCGCAACAAAATGGACGGGTTGAACGTAAACACATGCACATCTTAAATGTTGCTCTTGCCTTAATGTTCCAGGCTGATATTCCTATTTCTTTGTGGGGTGAATGTGTTTTATCTGCAGTGTATTTAATCAACCGTACTCCCTCTGGTGTGTTAGGTGGTAAAACCCCATCTAAGGTACTTACTGGGCGTGTGCCTGACTTCAGTCATACACGGGTATTCGGGTGCTTGTGTTTTGCTCATAACAAGAAATCCAAGGGTGACAAATTTATTCCCCGGAGTAAAAGGTGTGCATTCGTTGGCTATCCACATGGACAAAAAGAGTGGAAAGTTTACGACATGGAAACAGGTGACATTTTTGTTTCTCGTTATGTTAAGTTCCATGAAAATGAATTTTCGTTCTCTATTGTTGGTGCCGAGGTCATACCTTCCATCGAAGTGCATGATAATCCTCTAGTGATCACCAATGACGAGGTTGGTCTGGTTGGGCACGAAGACACTTCGGTTTCCATGCATTCTCATGATGAGACTTTGGCCAACCTGCCACCTACGACTACCACACCTCCAGTGGCCACTGAAGGTCCCACACCACCCATTCATATTACAGACACTTTACTTGGACGAGGTTAGAGGGCAAAACGCACATGAGTGTTACTTCGTGACTTTGTTACCCATATTCGGGCACAACACCCATCCCCGTTTCCTCCTGCTTCATCGGGTTACTCAGGTATGTCTTATCCTATAGCATCTTATGTGAATTGGGATAAATTTTCTTCTCGTCATCTGGAGTTTCTTGGAGCCATACTTGCAGGTCTTGAACCAAGATCTTTTAAGCAGGCCATGACTGATGCAGGTTGGCAGGAGGCCATGCAAAGCGAAATATGTGCCCTTGAAAATAATCAGACTTGGTTCTGGAACCTTTAACTACAGGTAAAAAGGCCCTTGGGTGTAAATTAAATAGGTTTATAAAATCAAGTATCATTCACAGGGACAGTTGAGCGTCTCAAGGCACCTTTGGTTGTATTTGGCAATCATCAAGAGGAGGGCATTGATTATACTGAGACATTTGCTCCCGTAGCTAAAATGGTTATGATCAGGGCATTTTTAGCGGTTGCGGCAGCTACATTGGGAATTGCGTCATGTGGATGTCCATAATGCGTTCCTTCACGGTGATTTGGATGAGGAGGTTTACATAAAGCCTCCTCTCGTTTTTTATCCCACTCAACCCGGGGTTGTGTGTCGGTTGAAAAAATCTTTATATGGGCTCAGGCAAGCTCCTAGGTGTTGGTTTGCTAAGTTAGCTGCTTCTCTGCGTGATTATGGACTTTTCCAGTCATATTCGCATTATTCCTTATTTATTTTCCGCCATGGTGATATCTGTTTGAATGTGATCATTTATGTAGATGATCTGATTATTGCTGGAAATAATTCTAATGCCCTGAATGGTTTTAAACAATATTTGAGCACATGCTTTCATATGAAGGACTTGGGTGTACTCAAATATTTTCTCAGAATCGAAGTGGCGCGCAGTTCTGAGGGCATTTATTTATGTCAACGAAAATATGCACTGGATATTATTTCTGAGACTGGTCTTCTTGGTGCCAATACGCATACTTTCACCACTTACTACTATCATTTTTTAAGTGCGAGAAAACTCACATTATTGAGCTACCATAATTAACAATCCTTATATGTATGTTCTATGAGGCCGGGTGCGTGACTGCCCGAGCAACCCTAGGACTGAGGATTCAAACCTTTTCAAACAATATACGAAGTAGATAGCATGTTGCCTTATATTTTCATACACACATGTCATTTCAAAGAAGAACCTATTCATTACCCGGTCATGTTTGGTCGCAGTTTTCCTTTATGTATCCGTCCGTACACACTACACATATGTTTTAACTTTGTATATTTTTATGAAGATAAATCATTTTTCTTTATTATTATCTTTTTATAATTATATTTCTCAAACATGGATGAAGTAATGTAGAGTATTTAATTTTCATTCATTCTTTAAACCATATACATTGCATGAATAATCAACCTCAAATACACATGACTGGTATGAGTTTTAACAGTACGTCCATACTAACTAAATATTAATATGAACATTCTGGCTGTATTGGACTACATTTCAAAGTGTGAGAATGTTGCCTTATATTTTCATACACACATGTCATTTCAAAGAAGAACCTATTCGTTACCCGGTCATGTTTCGTCGCAGTTTTCCTTTATGTATCGATCCGTCTATACACACTACACATATGTTTTAACTTTGTACTACCCCTGTTCTCTTTTAATTGCAACATTGGACTTTTTGCACTATTCACATATTCTACTTTGACTACATTTTATTAATTAATGTATTATAAATTAAATTTATAAAAAATATTGTTAAATTCTTCTCATTCTAAATTTTGAAAATATGAATTTTTTAAATTTGTTACTAATAAGGAATGAAAGATATTAATGGTCAGACTTGTGCGTTGGCAAACGTGAAATGTTGACTGTTGCAATTCAAAAGGAACGAAGGAAATATATTTTTATGAAGATAGTCTTTCTTTATTATTATTATCTTTTTATAATTATATTTCTCAAGCATGGATGAAGTAATGTAGAGTATTTAATTTTCATTTATTCTTTAACCATATACATTGCATGAATAATCAACGTCAAATACACATGACTGGTATGAGTTTTAACAGTCCATACTAACTAAATATTAATATAAACATTCCGGCTGTATTGGACTGCTTCTCATGATTATCTGCCTTTGATAGATGTCTAGAAATCAGAAACCTTAGACAGAAGAAGAAATTCAACTTCTACAACCAGGGTGTCATTTACTAGAAACCCTCCTGAAGTACTCTCCAACATCTTCAAGGGCATACATTTTTGCATGCCATAGCTCGGCCTTTTAGGGTCGTCAAAAACACGTTCCACTGCATGCAAGAAACGTGTGTAGTATAACAATAAGTAACATAGTAATTAGAGGAAAAATATTATTTACAACAATTACAATTAAATGGGTAGTAATGACCGGATTGTACAATAATACAAACACATATCAAGTAGGTACTATTTGAAGTTACCTTAGTTACGATCATCATGATAATACTTAACAATAATACTACTACCTCTATCCTTTAAAATTAGCAAATTTTTCCATTTTGATAATCTCAATAACTTTACATCTTTTCCATTTTAAGTAATAATTTGTAATTTTTTTTATTTCACTCCCCTCACCACAAAAGTCAACCACATAATTGTTTAAGATGGATGGAGTAATAATAGTCAAAGTACTTATAACGAATCGACGTAATAATACTAATAATAAGGGCTCATTTGGTGAGTCTTGTTTTCAGGTAACTTTTTAATGAACAAGTAATTTTTTATTTTGTGCACTGAATTGTATAATAATCAAAAGGAATAAGGTTGGAATTACTTTCTGAATGAATTTGATTAAGTTAATGTAGATTGTCATTTTAGCTATATATTTTTCATATAATTTTATCTTTATTTTATTAATATTTGTTTTATAATTCAGCAGATTTAGCCAATTTCAGCTTTACCAAACGCGCACTAAAAGGAATTCAATAATACGGAGTAATAATAATTAATTAACATTATACAAGTAATGTTTTAAAAGCAAGGTAGATTGAAGATGGGAAAAGGAACTTAACGACATGAAGTTTCATGGTGTTGTGTGTTGAGTTGATTGCATATCCGGAACTTATACTTTGCGTACAATTTAGTATTAGGGCTGTTATTAGCATCCTCTGCAGCGATCAATGCCAGGTAAAGGGACAAACTTTGGCCTTTCACAGTTGAGTGCCCTTTGGGATATAGCCTTAATATCCTACATACACCAATTTTAATTTTTCCAAGATCAGATACGGAAGCAATAATATAAACCATAGTATGCTGAGAACACACATATATATACCATTTGATTCCCTGAATGAAGAACTCATTAGAATTAACGGATTCCGTCTTTATAGACGAGAAGCCGCTTACTTTCCAAGTGTGAATGTTGTTTTCAGGATCCTTATTCACCATAATGGAATGGCATTCACGTTTTGTAGAATTTGGAAGTACAAAAACTTCAGCTCCAAATGCACAAGTGTCATCGACTAGATACCCATTGGATGGATTGGTGAAAGTTGACAATGGAAGTAACTCATCCAAACCCCATTTAGTTTTCATGTAGTGAAAACGCCTCACTTTGCCACCCCCATCTATGCATATCCATCAAAATGAAAGTAAGTAAATGTAATGTAATTAATCATACAAACGGATGAGATGGCTCTTTAAAACTTGTTATATACTATCGTATCCTACAAAGATTTGCTTGTATTTTTATGAATATAAAGTGTAACACCATACTAATATGATACGTAGTAATATACTTACTCCGTTCATAATTAATTGCAACGGTCCACTTTTCATGTTTGCTAGTGCACACGTTTGACCACTAATATCTTTCATTCCTTATTAGTAAATTATATTAAAATTCAGATTTTGAAAATTTAAAATGAGAGGTAATTAAAAATATGTTTTACAAACTTAATTTATAATACATCATTTGCTTAAAACTAGAAAACTTAATTTACAAACTAGAAGTATATGTAAATAGTGCAAAAACTCATACGTTGCACTTAAAAGAGAATGGAGGTAGTATAAGGGGGATTTGCTAAATGATTGACACATAAATTTACGAGTTGGAGGTGCCATAATATAATATTTAAATCAAGTTCATCGACAGAAGGTTAAGGAAGTAAGATAGGGGGGAAAGAAAGTGCGCGGCGAAAAATAAATTTAATTTATTTGAGATATCGTAAAGGGGTGAATGTTTATATACACATGAGTTTGGGCTGTGCTTATATCAGTTTGTTTGGAAAACTATGTGTTGGGTTAGGCCTGTGAAAAAATGATGATGGGTTGTGTCGCTTAAGAAAATAATTAAAAACATTGGATGCAGTGTTCATAAAAAAAGGAGGTAGTATTATCCTATACTCCCTTAGTGTCTCAGTCCATATTCGTTAGTCATCGACTTTTGCAAGATCCTAAATTTTAATCGAAATATATTTATATACTAGTATGAAATTATTTATAATTCGAATTTTTTTTTTTTAATTTTAACCACTTAATTTAAGGTTGGAAACAGGTGGATGAATGTTTTAAACTCTTTTTCACTTTTCTATACACGTACAAACAGGGCAAGAAGTGCCTTTGCACAGGGCCTCCAAAAATTTTAGGCCAATTTTTTGGAAAAAAAAATACTAGAATAGGATAGTAGTATATATAAGTAATTGTTTAATTTATAAATTTTTCAGTATCCTTCTGGAATCATAATGTTAGGCATGTATCCTTTCTTACTATGCTCAATGTGTCAATCTTTCTGTTACTGTTAAAGCTAGTAATAATGCTTTCAATCTTTCAGTTGTCTATGGTAGTAATGACAGGATCTCTAGAAGAGTTCTTTGGAAGGACCTCTCTGAGTTTAGGTCCACAACAAAGAATCAACCCTGGCTGATTGCTGGAGATTTTAATACCATCACAAACATCAATGAATATAAAGGTAACTCTACCCCTTGCAGGTATGATATGCTGGAGTTTAATGAATTTATTCATGATAATGGCTTGTCTGAAATAACTTTCCAAGGTAGTCCTTACACTTGGATAGGCAAAAGAAGAAATGGTTTAGTTCTTAAAAAGTTGGATAGATTTCTGGCCTCTATTGAGTACAGCAACCTTAACCTGGAGTTCAGTGTTAAAAAACTCAATAGGTGTGTCTCTGACCATAGCCCCCTTCTCCTCTACGAGTCATTAGCCACTACCTCTGGTCCCAAAATCTTTAGGTTTCAGCACATGTGGATCAAACATAATGATTTTCTTAACATTGTTAAAGAATCTTGGGTCACTCCCTGCGATGGCTTTGGTATGTGGAAATTCTCTATTAAACTCAAAAGGCTTAAGGTTGACCTTAAGACTTGGAATAAAAATATTTTTGGTAATCTTTTTGATAATATTTCTGAAGCTGAATCTAAAGTGACCTACTTAGAGGGAAAAGTTGATGAGTCCAACTCTGATGAGAACTACACCCTCCTTAAAGAGGCCCAGGCCAATTATATCCATGTCTCTAACTACCTTGAAACCTTTTATAGACAAAAAGCCAAAGTAAAATGGCTAAAAGAGGGAGATGCAAATTCTAAGTTTTTTCATCTCACTCTAAAAGCCAAACATCGTAAGCTCCAAATTGATAGGATTCAACTTGAAAATAATGATTGGCTTGAGAACTTTACTGATATCAGTGATGCTGCTATTGATTAATTCTCTAATCTTTTTAAAGATGATGGTAATACTACTGCTTTAGACCCTACTGCTTACCTTTCATGCTTGAGTCCAGTGATCACAGAGGAAGACAACAAAGCTTTGTTGATTACTGTGACTGAACAGGAGGTCAAAGAGGCAGTCTTTAGCCTAAGTAAAGACAGTGCATCAGGAAGTGATGGATTTGACGGTACTTTTTATCAACATTGCTATGATATCATTAAAGATGACTTGTATAATGCTGTTAAGGAATTTATGTGTGGGGTGCCTATTCCTAAATCCATAGGTCACACTCTGATCATTCTCATCCCCTCTGTTAGTTTATTCGCGTATAATTCGCGTATAATACACTCGAATGTACAATTCACGTATAATACTCTCGTTTATGAATTTTTCAAAATCTTTTGAAAACTTCATGTACTTTAAGGATAAAATGTATAATACACGTACCGTACGTATTGATACGTATTTTATTACGTATAATACTCCTGTTTATGAATTTTTCAGAAAATTCTGAAAAACTCACATGCTTTAAGAATAAAATGTATAATACACGTACTGTACGTATTGATACGTATTTTATTAAAAAAAAACACCAATAAACGGAAGCCTAATGGAGTGATACAACTGAAACAAAATGCATGTCAAGCTAATCAATATTATTTATATTGCTTAAAAAACGTTATGCCTTATATGTTCGCTAATTGTTTAACGGTCATTACATTTAATGAATTAGCTTCTTAAATTCGTAATCTGTTTCGATATTTCTATTGTACTACTACTGTATTACTTTTGTTCTCCACCCATATACCAAGACTCCAAAGAGATTGAAAAATGTTGTGGCGGCTCACTAAACTCATGGTCAAAGTAATATCATCTATTTTCTAGTAATATCTCTCCACTTCTACTTAAATAAGCAATGTCATTTTTATTACGTATTGTACCTATGCATTTAAATACGTAAATCTGAAGAAAAAAAACTATTCTGTACATTTTAAATTGTTGAAGATTGGGGTGCAAATGTTAAATAACTTTTTATTTCTATCATTAAATAAGTACTTCGTATATAAGACACATATTATATGCCGTATTTTTAAATTGTGAAACGTTTAAAACGCGTCCGTATCTTTATATATTTCACGAACGTATGAAACATATATTAAGCCGTATTTTATATAATTGTATCGTTTTATACACGAACGTACGTATTATTGTATTATTCACGTACCGTATATTACTAACAAAGCTCATCCCTAAGGAACCTAATGCCTTCAAATTTTCTAAGTTCAGGCCTATCAGCCTCAGTAATTTTATTAACAAAGTGTTTACTAAAATTCTTACAATTAGAATTAGTTATCTGCTTCCTAAAATGATCTCTCCTGAGCAGATTTGGCTTTCACCCTGTTTTTAGCAACCTGATTATGAATAATCTTAGAGCAACTTGGTGCTCTATTATAATTAATGGCACTCCTAAAGGTTTTTTCAAACCCTCCAGAGGGGTCAAACAAGGTGATCCTCTCTCTCCTATCCTTTTTATTATGGTTACCCAGGTTCTTTCCTATCACTTAAATGCTATATTTGACAATAGAAGGATTCTGGGTTATAGCTCTCATACAGGTGTTCCCCCTATTTCCCATCTCTCCTATGCTGACGATTTAATTGTTTTTGCTAATGCTAGTAAAAAAAACCTCAATTTGGTTCATAAAGCCATTACTGAAAATGGAAAATTCTCGGGTCAGCAGGTGAGTACCCAAAAAAGCTTTTATATCTTGTCTAAACATGCATCTAGTGCCACTCATGCTTTGGTTAGATCCATTTTCAAAATTCCTCGGGGATCCTTTCCTTTCATGTACTTGGGGGACAATATTTTTAAAGGAAGGTCTAAAAGGATTTACTTCAAGCATATTATTTCTAAAATTGACAATAAGCTTGCAGGTTGGAGGCACAACCTCCTCTCTGTTGGAGGTAGAATGATTCTTATAAAGCATGTTCTCTCCTCCCTCCCTCTTTATCATATGGCCACTTGTAAAATTCCTGCCTCTATTTTTACTGATATTGAGAGGAAATGCTCCCATTTCTTGTGGGACAGAAACTCTACTCACAGCAGGTATGTTTGGAGGAAATGGTCCAAATGCTGTTTTCCCAAGGAGGAAAGTGGTTTGGGTTTCCGGTCATTACCTCATATTCAACAAGCTTTTTTCTTGAAACTTTGGTGGAAGCTTAAGAATAATAAAGGCCTCTGGGCGGTTTTGGTCAACTCCCTTTTGAATATTCGCCTCTCTGTGTTTTGTTCTGCTCTCAAAACTGTGCAAGACATGTTTGAGAACCACACATCTGTCTACATTAATAATGGTTGTGCCTCTTTTTGGTTTGATAATTGGACTGGTAAAGGTAATCTTGCTGCTATGTTGGATTATGACCCCCCCTCCCCTGATATCACTGTTAGGCAGGCTTTTGTTAATAATAGCTTGATTCCTATTATTGCTGATCAGATTCCTAGGTACTACTCTGATGTCATTAATTCCTGTGCCCCTTGTTTTTCGGATACTAATGATTCTCTCATCTGGCAACCCGAGGCTAATGGTTGTTTCACGTTTAAGAGTGCCTATGATGTTACTCGTAATAATCTGAATAACTGGGAGGAAGCTAAGTTTGTTTGGAACTCTAGGATTCCCCTTAAAATTTCTTTCTTTCTCTGGAAGTTGCACAATAATCTTTTACCTTTTGAGACCAAACTCCACTCTTTGGGTATTCTTGGCCCCTTCAAATGTCCCTTTTGTAATAACCAGGATACTCTGGATCACTATTTCCTTCATTGTGCAACCACAGATAAAGTTTGGAGGCACTTTGAGGATCTGTTTCAGTTTCGAGAAAGTAAGAATTGTAGTATCCACAATTACCTTAAGAGTTGGTATTTGGATCTCAACGGACCTGCCACTGGCCTTAACTATATTGTCCCGAATTACATTGTTTGGCAACTTTGGAAGGTCCGGAATACCTTTCTTTATGATAACAAGAACATTAACAGTGTTGAGGCCATTAATCTTATTCAGAAGGAACTCTACTTAGCCTCGGTTGCTAGGCCCATAAAAAGCAATTCCCCCATTAATTATAGTATTCACCTGCACACTTCTCCTTCTCCGAGGGATAGGTATACTATCCACACTTGGATTAAGCCTCATCTGGGATTCATTAAAGTTAATATTGCTACTAGAATTCTCTACACTAATATCGTGAGATCGGGTTTTATTGCTAGAGATTCCAATGGTTACTACAAAGGGCACGCTAGTCATCTTGGTCCCACCAAGGACCTGACTGCCGCCCTTTATGATGCCATTAATTATTTCAGACCTTTTTTCGATCAACTTCTAGCTACTAACTTTATCATTGAACTGGATAACTCGCAGGTATGTGCCGCTATTCGAGGAGAAATACTGCACCATTGGACATACTGGAAAAGTTGCACGCGTATAAGAAGACAATACAACTCCAATCGTTTTGCTTTCAGATCTATTAATGCTGGTGCTAATCGGGCGGCTGAATATATTGCTTTTAATAAAGTTAGAATTAGCCGATCCCAAACGCATTGTAATCAATTTGTCGGCATCCTTAAATATGATGCAGTTAGCTACCCTTATCCCTAAACTTTAATTAGGCTTGGCCTGATTAATTTCTCTTTGTAATCTTTTTTTTTTAATAATAATTTGGTAAGGTGTTACCCGGCCCTTACCCCATCCTCGGATGGTTTGCCACTGGTGTCAAAAAAAAAAAAAAAAAAAAATTAAAAAATATATTAATAGGAGAAGTAGAACCCATTTGAATGTTTAAAAGAGGCCGCCGAACGGCCCAACTTCCCTTCCCAAATTAAATGAAAAAAGCTCAAAACCCATCCTGCTTCACACATCCTGATTAAAAAATTAAGGTTTGAAATTCTCTTTGCGGTTATTTTTGAAAAATCAAAATACGTAGTAGTTAACTGCTTCACAATGTCAAAGTTAACAGGTCGTTTGACAGCACTGTTTTTCGGCTTATCGGGCTTATCAGCAACCTTTTTCACCAAACTCGTAACTTTTACTTTCGCGTGCTGAGTTGTGTAATAAGCAGAAAAAGTAAGGTTGGAGTTACTTTTCTGGCTTTTTTGGCTGAAGTTACTGTAGATGACCATTTTAGCTATTATTACATATAATTTTTTCTTTATTTTATTAATAAAATATATTTTAAAAATAATTGTTTCTTAAATCACCAAAATTAGCCAATGCAGCCACTTCAAACAGAACTTAAGAAATTTCAGCAGAATCAGCCAAAACAACCGATTTTCGTGCTACCAAACGGGCTCTAAATTCATTCACATTTTTATATCCAATTTATTTGGTTATGATTTTGTTATTTTGATTCGTTTCTCTCTGATTTTAGAGTTCTTTTTACTGACTTTATTTGTTTTGTTCTTTAAGTCCGAAAATCTTATTATCTCTCATTTGAATGTAGACTTGTAGCCGTTTATTGGTTTTTTTATGGTTGATTTTTTTTAAAGGGTTGATTTTTGGTATTTGATAAGCATAAAAGTATTTGATCTAAATAGGACTAAAATATAAGAATAATGCAAGAATAGGACCTTGTGTTTTTTTATTCCCAAAATAGGAGCACCTTTTATTTTATCCCAATCTTACCCTCCTGATATTTTAATCTTCCGTATCATGCATATCCACTCCCAACCACTTCTTTTCTCCTCTCTCCTCATTCTTATCTCTTCTCCTGCTTGCATCTCCATCACATACGGATATCTCTTTGCATCTCCCTTCTCTTTCTCTCCCTGCAGGACATCATCCATCATATTTCCTCCTCCAAAAATTTCCTACCGATCTAAAAGTACTCCATCTCTGACGAATTACAAAGTTTTAACAGCGATTTTTCCTTCTCAATTCTGACAGTCGTACTGGTGGGCGGCGGCGATTGTGTAGGTAAGCATTAATTTTTTCTTCTCCTTTCATTCTTCTTCTTTTTCTTCTTAATCTTCTTCTTCTCGTCCTTCCTTTTCTTTTCTTTCCCTTCCTCTTCACCCTTTTTTCCATTGCTCTGTTAGAGAGACTTTCATTTTGAAAATTTGGAGTTTTTTTACAGTTGAAAATATGAACTTGGGGACTAGAAATTTTTGAATTAAGATGATGTTTGCTTGATTTCTATTTTCTTTTTGAAAAATTAAGTTTGTCCGTATATCAATTATATTTTTTGAGTTCATTTTACAACCCATTTATGACTTGATTTTTGCTTCAACTTTCTTTACCCTTTCCAGTTTTGTATGTATTAAAAAACTCTTTATTTCTTCTTATTTTTCTCTTTCAATTTTTGACATTCATTTCAATCAATTTTTTGTAACTCTTCAAATAACTTATATTATTTGAACCCCAAATTATCATAATCACTATTTTAAGGTAATTGTATGGCATTAATGAAGTATTTCCCCTTTGCAAATACAATACAATGTGAAAGTATTATCTCGACACTTATTTCCATTTTTATGGCACTAACGGTACAAATATGGCAATATACTATTTCTTTGGAAATGAATGTCAAAAAATGAAAGAGAAAAATAAGAACAAATTTTTTTTTTTTTAATAAAATGACATTTTTCAGATTGAAAAACATGGCATTATTGTATTTAAATACAAAAAACATGACATTTTTTAATTACATGCCATGTTTTTCAATCTGAAAAATGTCATTTTATTAAAAAAAAAAAAATATTTGTTCTTATTTTTCTCTTTAATTTTTTGACATTCATTTCAATCAAGTTTTTGTAACTCTTCAAATAACGTATATTATTTGAACCCCAAATTATCATAATCACCATTTTAAGGTAATTGTATGGCATTAATGAAAATATTCCGCCTTAGCAAATACAATACCATGTGAAAGTATTATCTAGACACTTATTGCCATCTGTATGTCACTAACGGTACAAAGATGGCAATATACTATTTCTTTGGAAATACAGTAATGCCATGTTTTTCAAACTGAAAAATGTCATTTTTAAAAATCAAGATTGCAATAATGTTATTAAGATGCCACTTCAACTTCAAGATACCACTTCCATGATAACATGCCAAATCAGATATCAGATCTCAGATTTTGTCGTAATAGGTGGTGGATGAGGCCACCGGCGATGTCTGTGGTGGCGGCGGCGACACAGTGGAGGCGGTGGCAAGCTTAGAGATGGTGTCTATGGTGGTGGCAGATGCATCAGCTGGTGGTGGAAGAGTCATACCGACAGCGATGGTATGGGTGGCAACGACAGGTGTTAATTAGAGCCACGGAGGCGGCGGCGGATGATGTGAGCAGCAGAGACGGCAGCGGCGGCAGATGACATGAGCGGAGGCGGCAGATCTCCGACGGCGGAGGCGGCAGATCTCTGGCGGCGGCGGATCTCCGACGGTGGTGGCGAAGAAGGTGGTCATCAGCCCTAGGGTTATGTTGTTTACGGGCTAGGTTGCTGTACTGTTAGTTTTTATGTTTTGATTTAAATTATTAATAAAGAATTGAGCTTGAGATTTCATTAAGGGTATTTATGTCAGACCATCCCTTTTTTACTCCTACTAAACTTTACGGGAAGCTGAAGTCCTATTTTTGCATAATTTGTATGTTTTACTCCTATGTGGGTAATTAACTCTAAGCATAACTGCCTAACTGGTTGATGAATTTGCTTCGAAGAACGTCTGGAGATGTCTCTTTTTAATTATGACCTGCTTAAACTTGAACCTGGTACTTCTTTATTTGATTCTTTGTTTTATTGAATGTGTTGGACGATTTTTTTTATACTTGCAGACTTGTAGCAAGTCTGGATGTAAACAATTCTTTGTGCATTCTATTTAACATAAGGCCTAATTTATGTGATTTGCATCGGGTCTACTAATGTGTCAAGCCGGCCCTGCGTACAAATACACTTTTGATCAAATATTACAAACCTTTACTTTTCAAAAGTTCAAACACTAATCATTTTTATTTTTTCAAATGGTTAAACGTTGTCAACTTTTACTATTAAATACGTTCTCTGACATTTTAAAGGCGTAGAAGCATCAAACACAAACACATCTCTGCACATATACCTTGGATTGTCAAATAACTGTCATTGATTTGATCGTAAACAAAGAGATTAAACTTTGCATGAACCTCCCATCCCCGTGGAAGACTTTCAGTTTCAACTATTTGTAAGTAGAGGGAGATGCGACCGTCATCATCTTCACCATCCGCTTTCTTATCCCCCTTGTCATAATGAACACATAACTTCCTGCGGGCGTGCATGCATGCAGACGTGCAGTATAAGTTATTTAATTATCAAAGAATAAAAGCACCTAAAATCTTGAATTAGAAGTTATGATAGAATAAAAGTAGTAGTAATCTTTATTTAGAAGTTATGAAAGAATATAATGATTCCAAATTTTAGGAGTACCATTTTTTATCACAGGCTTGAAAAACTCCAGATTCGAGTTTCTGAATTCCAGATTGTGAGAGTTGAGAAAAGGAACGTATCATAAAAATGAAGTGAGATGGGGGAGTATCCCTCTTCCACTTCTCAACTGCTGTGGTTGAACCCATGTATTCCTTACGCAAATAAACTTTTTCAGCGGATTGTTTTTCTTCAACTACTTCTGTGTTGGTTATCTGTATTCTCTTCTCTTTAGATGGTAGGCAACAAAACATAATGTGGTTTATTGATTGAATAAGTCTTAGCCTTTATACGCATGGATGGGTATTGGGGAGGGAATACTTTACCGATAGGCAATTATGAGTATCAATTCTGAGGGTCTAGTTTGGGAAAGGGATTACTTCTTCAAGAGGCACTAATAAGTTCTTGCTTCTGCAGGCCTGCCTTAGGGGTGCAACAAGGGCGTCCTAGCTAGACTCCTAGACATATAAAAGTAGAAACAAATAAGGTTTAGGGTTGGTTTGCAACTCCTTTTAAAAAAGCACTTCTCAGCTTTTGGCTTTAAAAAAGCACTTATTTTCCCAAACACTACAACTTTTATTTTTCTCGGCTTCCGCGTCAAAAGTGCTTTTACTTTTTCTATTACACAAAAAGCACTTATTTTACCAAACACTACCCACTTTTACTTTTCAAAATCACTTTTTTCTCAAACACTATCAACTTTTATTTAATCACTTCTCCCCATTTCATTAAAAAAAGCACTTTTTAAAAAGCAGAAGCTGTTGCAAACAGACCCTTAATAGTTTTTTGTTCGTTGTAAGAAATGTTAGCTACTCAATAGCTTTTCCAATAATGATGTTCTTAGTATAAAATAATAGCTTTTTTATTTATTACTCCCTCCGTCCCACTAACAATGGGACAAGAGGGAGTGACACGCAAATTAATAAAAAGTGAGGTATGTGGTTGATATTGAATTGATAAAGTAAGAATAAAGTAAGAATGATTTAGAGCCACACAAACTTTACCAAATTTGGTAGAGACAATCTTAGTGGGACGGACCGAAAAGGTAAAATGAGACAATTTTAGCGGGACGGAGGTAGTAGTTCGTATGACTTTTTTTTGCTCCATTAAAACTCATATTTTAAACAAAATAATGACTTGCTCAATGTATATTACTACCCTGCCCCTGCGATTGGGACAAGGGAAAGTGATGTGTGATTTCAACAAAAATAGAGTCATGAGGTTAATATTAGATTAATAAAGTATAAATAAAGTCAGAATAAATTAGAATCACACAAATATGATCAATTATGATGACAGGCAAGTTTAGTGAGATGTACGAAAGAGGAAAAAATAAGACATTCATAGTGCGACAAAGGAAGTACTAAAATTAGGATAATGAACAAAAATATCATAATGCATCTTAGGGTCTGTTTGCAATCCATTAAAAAAGTGCTTTTAACTTTTTTTTAAGAAAAAACATTTATTTTACCAAACACTACCAACTTTTACTTTCTCAGCTTCCGTGTAGAATCTACTTTTTTACTTTTTCTATTACACAAAAAGCACTTATTTTACCAAACACTACCAACTTTTACTACTAATCACTTTTCCCCCAAAAGTACTTTTATTTAGGGCCTGTTTGGATGGAGTGTTTGGAAGTGTTAGTAATGAAAGTGTTAGTAAGTGTTGGTAAGGGCCCAGAAGGGAAGAGAAGTGTAAGTGTTAGACATAATTTTACCTTGTTTGGGAGAGTCAAATCAATGAAGTGTTAGTAATGGAAGTGTTAATAATTTTGCCTTGGAGTAGAACAAAGAAGAGACGAAAAAGGAAGACCATCAGACCCTTGGCAAAGATATTCGAAGTGAGATGTCAAAGCATTATATATTTTTAGGGTAAATGAGAAGGTAATAATTGTCCAACACCTCAAAACACTCCAAATCGGGGTGTTAAAAAAAGTGGACAATTGAGGTGTTGGGAAGGTTATTATTAACACTTCCTAACCGTTACTAACACTTCTTAACACCTCTTAATTTTTCTCCCAAACAAGTGTTAGTATCAACACTTACTAACACTTCCATTACTAACACTCCCCAACCCTCAATCCAAACAGGTCATTAAGCATAAGTGGTTGCAAACAAAGCCTTATACTCCGTATGAAAAAATAATGACGTATGGTACTACGTAAATACACACGCACACTTATAGTGTTTTAGTCATATTTTTGTCAAGTTTGATTTCGGTAATAGTATGCCTGGACTCGGGCCGGTTCGGGCCTGGGCCCGGCCGGGCCTCGGGCCAGGAAAGGGAGGCCCGAGCCCGAACCGCCGGTGGCCGGTTCCGGTCCCGGTTCCGGGCCAAACCGGGCCGGGCCGAACCGGCCCAATAATTTTTTTTTTTGTTCTCCTATTTAATCCCCTACCCCTCCCCCTCAACCCCAAACCATCCCAAACCACCTCAAATGGCCCAAATTACCTAATCCAACCTAAAACTTAAAAAAAATTCAAAAAAAAAAAAAAATTAAAATCCGGCCCGGACCGGGCCCGAACCGGCCGGGCCGGTTCACCAAAACCTGGGCCCGGGCCCGAACCGCCCAGCAGCCGGGCCGGGCCGAACCGAACCGAGGGACCCACCGGGCCCCGGGCCGGGCCGGTCCAAACAGTAACCGGGCCGGGCCGGTTCCGGGCCGGGCCGCCCGGCCCGAGTCCAGCACTAGGTAATAGTACTCTAAGAAAAATTTCATTTTAAAAAAGTGAGAATATCGTACCTGTAATGCATTTAGTTGCTCCAAATTATTATTTCATCATTAAATAATACTCAATAGTTCAAGTGTTCAATAATTGAAATATTCTAATTGGTCGAATCGTCAAAAATCAATTGTCATTTACCCCAGTCCCCAGTGCCGCAAAGACTCTCGCCTACGGTGGGGTAAAGGGGGTCGGATGTGCGCAGTCTTACCCCTATACTAAAGCACAAAGAGATTGTTTCCGGATGATCCAAAATGAAAATCGCATCCAAAATTCCATAGACTGACTGCTGCTTCATACCAAAGAAGTGCAGACAGTTTGGTGAGTCATTTTGCTTTATTCCATCATATTCTCAAGTCAAAAAATAATGAATTCAAGGCTCCATTGCAAATGATGGAAATAAATATTCTAATTGGTCCATAGTTTAAAAATTGTTAATCTACAACTTTTTTGTATGAATTGTTCCATAGCGCTCATATGTTTCATAATATGTATTTTGTGAAATAGGAGAAACCGACGATGCGTACTACACAAGTAGCAAGAAACAGTAAGGACATGATATGTTTACTTCACGAGTTACCAAGCTTTGTTTATTAAAACACAATTTATAACTAAATATAACTCACTATTTAATTAATAATAGGGGCTTAATATATAGGCCTATATTTAGTTAACAAATGCATTTCCTAAAATATTGTTTAACTCTAAAATAGTTCCAAATGTATAACCAAAATAAAAGTAGTAGACAAAAATGTGACCCTTATAACTTTAATAAATATAATTATTTTACAATGTTACATCACAATGACTATAAAACATACACATAGAAACTTATAGTCACTTTTTTGTCCATAAAATTTTATTAGGATTATTTTAGGGAAACCCTCTTAATCCCTTTATTCTCAACATACACTTGCACCTACCAAACTCACCCACCCCAACTACATCCCCAAATCGCCGCTACCCCTACCCTAACTCCCCATACCCTTCCTATCGGTCCCTACCCCCCTAAGGGAAAGGGGTGGTTGGATGAGGTAGGTATGGGATAGGGAGAGGAAATTATACGTACCGATTTTTCAAAACTATATATATCGAATTTTACCGAATCGAATACCGAATTTTCAAAATTATACTTACCGGACCGAAATTTCGGTTCAATATTTGGTACGTATCGAAATTTCGGTATATGTTTGGTTCGGCCGATTTACCGAATAGTGCATCAAACCCCCAAAACTCAAAGGAGAAGTTGGGACTTGGGAGGGAGGCGCTATCCATTAAGCCACACTATTAATCTTTGCCGGTGAATCGGCGGTGGTCACGAGATTTGGTGGCAGATGAATTTTCATTAATGGGTTCTCATTAAATGAAATAATACTTGGATCAGATCAACCACTCTTCCTCCATCCTATTTATTTATTTACAAGAGACAACGAAGCAGAACCATTACAGCTGGTGACGTTTTTTGCGACGGCCATGGCAGAGAGTAAAAGAACCGTTCTTGTTACCGGAGCCGGTGGAAGAACCGGTAAGTTTTTTACTTTCTATGTGAACTGACTACTGAGTACTGATAAAGGGTTCCATTGATTTTTATTTTTCACTATTGTATGCTGGAGAAATTTTGCAATTAATTACGCGAATCCTAGGAAACTCAAAATTATATCCTTTTCTGAGTATTTCATAGACACAGAAGCTGGGTTTCATTCTATAGACCTCATGGAAAAAATCTTTATATCCTGTTAGCTCTTGATGGTGCGGGATGAATTGGCACTTCAAATATTTTGTAGGCAATTTTTATACTCCGTATGATCTAAAACTCCTAGCATTGAGAAAATGTATTCGGGGTCCTATCTTATGATTTTCTGAACATAGTACATGCCTTGAGTATTTGTAGTGAAAGGCCTTTGATTTGAGATCTCACATTCTTGTTTCTTGAATTGTCTCATACTAAAGGATTCTTGCATTCGAAACATACCTGAGGAAATATTAACTCTGGCTGAGATTGACTTGGATTGGTATAATCTTCTTTAAAACAAGGATTTTTGCATTCATATATAGTTAGAGTAAGATACTCTCCAAACAGTTCTAATCTTGTAGAAACTCAATAAGTGGACATAAGGTAGATATTGCTTAATGCTCGCTTGGTCTTGTTTTATTTCGTATCATGAGGTTTACTTTAAGTTAAATGTAAATCCCTTTTACTAATATTCAATAAATATTATTCGTAATAATCAAGATTTCCAAATGAATACTAAAAGTTCTATTGAAATGCAAAAGCTAAATACAAATATATGAAAATTTTCATATACGTTGTACAAGATTAAAAAATAAGGGGAATTAGGATGACGAAAAGAATGAGGCCGATGGAGTAATACAATAACACATTGAAAATGCATGTAATGAATTATAACTGTATAAGTATGGTTTTTCTAATTTGGTTTTTGTGTTGGTGGGCAGGACAAATTGTGTATAAGAAGCTGAGGGAGAGTTCAGAGGAGTATATAGCAAGGGGGTTGGTGAGAAATGAGGAGAGCAAGGAAAGTATTGGGGGTGGGGATGA